AAAATATGTAAGTAATATAAATTCGAGTAAGCTATCTCATAAAATTTTGAACAACACCAAATCAAGTAAGTTTTCACCAACTCACGTAAAAGATCTCACAAAAATGCATAAGTTAACACAAATTTCCTGTAAGTCATCTCATAAAAGTTTTGAGGAACACAAAATCAAGAGAAAATATCATTTTGCCCCCCAACTATCACGTGTTTTTCACGTTGACCCCCATACTTCGATTTATTTCAATTTAATACCTGAACTTTCCACAAATTGATCAATTAGACCCCTGCCGTCACCTTCCGTCCACAATTGGACGAAATGTGCTGATGTGGGGGACAAATTGATTTTTTTTAGTATAGTTTGGTGGGGCAAATTGATTTTTAATTTGGGGGATAAATTGATTTTTAAGGTATAGTTTGGGTGGTAAAATGAAATTTTAAATGAACTTTGGTGCCATGTCAGCACATTCCGTCCAATAGTAGACGGAATGTGACGGTAGGGGCCAAATTGATCAAAAATTTGAAAGTTTGGGTATAAAATTGATATTAATCGAAGTCTAAGGGTCAACGTAAAAAACACGTGATAATTTGGAAGGCAAAATGATATTTTCTCCAAAATCAAATAAGTTTTTACAAAATCACGTAACTGATCTCATAAAAATGTATAAACAGTACAAATTCGAGTAAGTCATCTCATAAAATTTAAACAACACAAAATCAAGTAAATTATCACTAACTCAAGTAAATGATCTCACAAAATTGTGTAAATTAACATAAATTTTCTGTAAATCATCTCATAAAAATTTTAAGGAACACAAAATCAATTAAGTTTTTATGAAATGCGTAAGTAACACAAATTTGACTAAATCATCTCATAAAATTTTGAACAGCACAAAATCAAATAAGTTTTCACAAACTCGCATAAGTTATCTCACAAAAATGCGTAAGTTAACACAAATTTTCCTTAAGTCATCTCATAAAAATTTTGAGAACACAAAATCAAGTAAGTTTTCAAGAACTCACATAAGTTATCTTAAAAAATTGCATAAATTAACACAAATTCGAGTAAGTAATCTCATCAAAGTTTGAACAACACAAAAACACATAAGTAGTTTTCATGAACTCACGAAAGTGCTCTCATAAAAATCCATAAGTTAAACCCAAATTTCCCTTAAGTTGGCTCAAAAAAATTTTGAAAAGCACAAAATCCCGTAAGTTTTCAAGAACTCACATAAGTGATTTTAAAAAATCGTGTAAGTTAATACAAATTCAAATAAGTTATCTTATCAAAATTTGAACAACACAAAAACGCGTAACTTTCACGAACTCACGTAAGTGCTCTCACAAAAATCCGTAAGTTAAACACAAATTTTCTGTAAGTTGTCTCAAAAAAACTTTGAAGAACACAAAATCCCGTAAATTTTCAAAAACTTGAGTAAGTTATCTTAAAAAATCGCGTAAATTAACACAAATTTAAGTAAGTGATCTCATCAAAGTTTGAACAACACCAAAACGTGCACGTTTTTACGAACTCACGTAAGTGCATTCACAAAAAATCCGTAAGTTAAACACAAAATTTTCGTAAGTTGACTCAAAAAGATTTCGAAGAACACAAAATCCTGTAAGTTTTCAAGAATTCATGTAAGTGATTTCAAAAAATCGCGTAAGTAAACACAAATTCAAATAAGTTATCTTATCAAAGTTTGAACAATACAAAAACGTGTAAGTTTTCACGAATTTACGCAAGTTCACAAAAAACCGTAAGTTAAACGCAAATTTCCCATAAGTTGCCTCAATTTGTTTTTAAAGAACACAAAATCCGGTAAGTTTTCAAGAACTTACGTAAGTGATCTCAAAAAACCGTTTAAGTTAATACAAATTCAAATAAGTGATCTCATCAAAGTTTGAAAAACACACGCCAGTTTTTATTGACTCATGTAAGTGCTCTCACAAAAATCCATTAATTAAGCACAAATTTTCCATATGTTGTCTAAATTTTTTTTTGAAGAACACAAAATCTCGTAAGATTTCAAGAACTCACGTAAGTTATCTCAAAAAATCGCGTAATTTAATACAAATTCGAGTAAATTATCTTATCAAAGTTTGAATAACACAAAAAATGCGTAACTTTTTACAAGCTCACGTAAGTGCTCTCATAAAAATCCATAAACAAATTTCCCTTATGTTGTCTCATAAAATTTTTGAAGAACGTAAAATCCCGTAAATTTTCATGAATTTACGTAAGTGATTTCATAAAAGCACGTAACTTAACACAAATTTAAGTAAGTTATCTCATTAAAGATTTGAAAAACACAAAAACACATAAGTTTTTACAAACTCACATAAGTGCCCTCATAAAAATATGTAAGTTAAACACAAATTTTTTGTAAGTTGTTTCAATTTTTTTTTGAAGAATATAAAATCTCGTAAGTTTTCAAGAACTCACATAAGTGATCTCAAAAGACCGCATAAGTTAACACAAATTCGAACAAGTTATATAATTAAAGTTTAAACAATAAAAAATGAGCAAGTTTTCACGAATTCACATAAGTGCTCTCACAAAAATGTGCAAGTTAAACACAAATTTTTTGTAAGTTATCTCATAGAAATTTTGAATAACACAAAATCCCGTAAGTTTTGAAGAACTCAGGTAAGTGATCTCAAAAAAACATGTAAGTTAACACAAATTCGAGTAAGTTATTGGTCAATTTATGCAATCAATTGTATAATCAATTGGTTAATGGATTGGTTGTAGCCAAACAATCCAATCAATTGGCAAATTGATTAGAGTGACCAATTCTTTCAGTCAATTTACCAATGAATGCTTTTGTAAAATTGTAAATGTGCAATCAATTGTAAAATTGATGGTTTTGGCCAAACCATCCAATTAATTGGCAAATCGATTGATGGTAGCCAATCAAGCGGTCATTCGATTTCAATCCCCATTCTTATTTTATAAGTATTTAAAAAATAAATAAATTATTATTTACTAAATTTTGAATTTTTTTAATAATTTAATATGTAAAAATACTTGAATTTGGCCTGAATTTAATATATAGAAGTCAGGACAAAGTCGAATTATCAATAAATTAAGTTATGATTTTATTTACTTGTTTCACTTTTATAATTATATTGATCAATTTAATGAAAATTTTGTTGGGACTCCCTTAATTATATGTTTTTACTAGTATAACAAAAATAATTAAAAAAATTATTAACTCAAGTCTTCTAATTATTTGAAAACCAGATGATGACTAAACTACTCTCCCATAAGACTAACCATTGCACTTTAGTATTTTGTTATCAAATATATATTTGATTCATTTCAAAATTTCAAAAATTTATAATTTTGGAGGTGAAGGTGGATGTGGTGGTAAGGTGGTAGTAGTAGCGGTGGTAGTGCAGGGAGTGAAATCGGTGGTGGTATAGTAGTGATAGTAGTGGACTTGAATAGTGGTAGGGACTATAGCCAATGATAACGATAATTGGTGGTCTTTGTATAAGAGGCGGTACTTCTTGTCCAATCAATTCCAATCCAATTGTAATTGACTGTGCACAATAAAACTCATTTAAATTATGACCAATCTTCATTACCACTGGTGGTCTTAGTGTAAGAGGCAGTACATGTTGTCCACCACTACTGTTATCACCACTTTTATTACCATTGTCATCGTTACCAAAAATACCACCATCATTTCACAACCATAATCACAGTTGTCATTACACCACTGCAACTACTACAACAATTCACCTCCATAATCACTACCACCAATGGTCCACTATTACTATAACCCTTTTGATAATCGAGTGTCCGGATTAGCTTACGTACACCTCAATTAATCTTGAAGAACCAATCTCATCGCTCACTTGCAAGGGCCCCATTTAAAGACAAGGCAAATGCCTTGCATGGATATGACACGAGAGAGCTTATTATTATTAATGGGTATTGAATCTGAGACCTAAAAAGAATATACCTCTAGGCCCCAAGTTTTGTCCACTAGAACATGGCCCCAAGTGTTACTAAGGGGTACCATCATTGTTTCATCACCACTATCGTTACACTATTGTCGGCACCTTTTTTTTTTAATTTTAATTTTTTTTTACCTCTACACCATCATTGCATCGCTCCTCCCACCACCACTACCACACAAAATTTTGAAAATACAAATTAAAAATAATAAGTTTAAAATTTAATTATTAAATAGGTACAATAATTAATTGATAAATAATTATTTATTTATAAGATAACTGGTGTGACTAAAAATAGTAAGGATATATTCGCGACGGAGCATGGTGGCATTCGAAAGAGTGAGGGCACATGGCTACCATCATCACCATATCATATATCGCCTTATTTTAATTATTATTAAAAAACAAACACAATGCTTTTTTATATATCATGTAAATAGGGGAATATACATATCAGTGTTGTTAGAAAAAAATAATTATAAAAGGTGATTAATATTATAAATATTAATAATTATAATTATAATTTTTTGCACTAACAGTAATAATTATCAAAACCCCTCATGAATAGTAATTTTTCTTTTTCGTTTGGAAAGTGGGTTAGCTTTTTGACTTTTTTGATTATTTTAATCTGGGCTAAAAAGCTTGATTTGGGAAGGACTTTTTGGCTTTTTTTGAACTTTTTGGACTTTTTTGTGAGAGAAGAATGTAATGATTATGAGTTGGATGTGATGTTTTGTTTGTTGTGGCTAAAATAGCCTATTTTGTCTTTTGTGACTATTTTAGCCACAAATCAACTTGCCAAACAAATATATTTTAAAAAGAATATAAATTTTATTTGTTATGTTTTTAGCTATAAATATTTTTTAAACTTACTAATAGCTATTTCTTAATATATATAGATTAAAAATATTGTTTAGCAGTAAATATTGTTTAAGATTTTTTTATATTTATTGTTTTTTAAAAAAAAAATCAGCATATTTTGAAAACTTAATAAAATCATTTTTTTAACCAAATTTTTTGTCCTAAATTTGAGAATCCCACCCAAAACCCTATCTCTGCTCTCTCACGACTCTCCCTCTCACCCTCCTCTGTTACCCATCGGCCTCCCTTTCCCCTTCCCTTGATCGAATGCAACCAACCTCTCATCCCCATTCTCTCACCTGATGCCATTCATTTCCCTCTCTCCTCACCACCTAATGCCTAAGGCTAGAGTTCAGATTGTTGAAAACTTGAAGACTTCACCGCGTAAGACACTCCTCCGTCGCAAGCCCACTCCAATTTCTTGGTACATTCCTCTTCCCCTCCTTGTTTCCCCCCTTCCCCTTCTCGTCATATATACATATATCTCTAACTAGTAGGTAACCGTGGGATACACGAGAATTTATTTTTAAAATAAAAAATTAATTTTGAGTTTTAATACTTTAAGTGTAGAAAATTTTAACAATTGAAAGTCAAATACAAACAAATTTGCTAATGACTGATGAAAATTTTTGTCACTGTGTGCTTGATTCTATGTCAAAGGCTCATAAAAATAATTTATTTCAAAGTTAAAAACAAAAGTATATTCTCAACCTGAAATCAAATTCTCATTTGTATTAATCAAATTTACTAAAAATCATAAATTCCACTTGTATCAATATATATATATATATATTGAAAAAAATAAATAAATAAAAACAACAGAAAAAAATTCTATTATATACAAATTATGAATTGGTTATAACTTATGATTATTTTGGTTATTAATCAAAAAAGTCTTTACTAATTCTTTATATTTTTTGTTATGTCTAAAGTAGTGCATAGGTCTTTAATTATACATGTTTGATTATGATCTATTATAATATTTTTATATAACAATATTTAAGTATTTTATTGTTTCAAGAAAAAGTGCTTAAGGTGGGTTATCTCAAAGATAAGATTTATGTTTATATCAGTAAGATTGTAAGAGTTATTCATATTGATGTATAAAAAATTACAAATTCAAATAATAAATAGTGCCCTCAAAGGAAATCAGACACAAAATCTTTATAACCTTAATAATTTCAATTCTCAAAAGGGTTTTGATTAATTATGTGACACATCATAATAATCATAATTTTTTTATTCTAACCAAATTATTTTTGCATGTCTTTTTTGATAGAGCTCATGAATGTTTGTTATCAGTAATACTATAAATTCAATATTTTTATTTAAAAATTATTCAAGAAACATCAATAAGTGTTTTAAATATACAGAATCGCTTTCGATAAATTATTATTCTTTAAAATAATACTCCACACTATTTATCATTTGACATCTGTCAATTTATCTTCTAAAAACTTGACAAAAAAGTATTGAGTTATATTTTTTTAACCAATCAATATCAAATTGGACGCTACACGTGTACGTAAATCACTTCTATAAATATGATGTCTGACATAAAATCACAATGGAATTAATTTTAATTATTTATTTTGATAATCTTAACCTTATGGTTTTATAAAAATGTTGCTTCAATACTTATATATAATAAATTTAGTTAAATTATTTTTTTATTTTGATAATTTTAGTTTTATTGTGTTATAAAAGTGTAATTATCATATAATTATTTTATATGATATATATTAAATTATAAGATAGTAAAATAAACACTTATTCTGATATTAAAAATAAAAGAAAATTGGTGATAAATCCAATCTAAGGATTGTGTAAGGCATTAGATCTGGTGAATATTTTTTATTGGTGAAAAGTTCACGCCTTGTGAAATAGTTTGATAAGAAGTCCTAGAACACATTTTGTTTTCAATTTTATCCTTTGACTTTTTTTTTTTTATCTATTTGACTTTTCGTTGACTATCTATTTAAATTTTATATCTATCTGTTCAAATTTTTTTGACTATCTGTTTAATTTTTTCCCAATCTGTTCAATTTTACCTAAATTCCATCTATCTGTTCAATTTTTCCCTTAATTCTATTTATTTGTTCAAATTTTCCCCTAAATTCTATCTATTTGTTCAATTTTTTTTCCTAAATTCTAGGGCAAATTACATATACCCCCTCGAGGTTTATCAAAATTACAGATACCCCCTGAGGTTCGAGAAATTACAAATACCCCCTGAAGGTACTATTTGCATAACAAATTAGGGGGTAAATTGTTATGAAAATATAAACCTCAAGGGGCAATTTGTTATGAAAATATAAACCTCAGGGGGCTATCTGTAATTTTCGAAACCTTAGGGGGTATCTGTAATTTAGCTAAAGCTCGAGAGAGGTATATGCAATTTGCCCTAAATTCTATCTATCTGTTCAATTTTTTCTTATCTGTTTGAAACAATATCTGTTTAAATGTGTTTCATTTTTTATTATCTGTCCAAAATTGTTCCTTTATCTGTTCAATTTTTCCTCTATTTGTACAACAATAGCAAGTACAGTCACAATCACAATCATAATCAAAATCAACAACATATAATAAAGAGAAAAAAAAAATCAAAATTTTTATCCACAGATCCAAACAGTCATCGTAATAGAACACCTATACACCCACACACACTTCATCAGATCCAAACTCTTATTCTCATTTCCTTCTATTGGTGTGTTCTTCGAAGCATTTCAAGGTAGGAATCGAATAGAGGGGCTTCTTTCGACATTGATGAACTGTGATTTTGAGAAGAAGAAGCTGGGTGTCCCTTAGGAATGGAGTAACTCTAACATTACGGGAAAGAATCAACGATGTTTTGATGAAATTAGGGTTTGAGAGAGACAGAGAGACAGAGACATCTGAATTTGATATCTGAATTTGTGAATTGGATGATATACAAAATGAGGAAAAGTGAATGGAACCTGAGAATCGTTGGAGGATTGAGCGATCTCGAAGAAGAAGATGAGGACGCAGAATAATGGAACTTGAACACCCCAACCAGACTTCAGATCCGGCAAATACACATCATCAATCGTACTTCTCTCCTCACCAATTTTATCTGTTCAAATTCTCAACAATGGCTCTCTGTTCAAAAAGTCACTCTCAACAGATCTGTTCTATAACAAATCTGTAATAGATCATATCAAGTTTTTCAAAAAACAAATAAAATTATCCACTATTTGTTCAACAATAACAACAATCAACAACTAAAAAAAAAAAAAAAACTCTACAACAATAATCAACACAGATCTGTTCATTCACACACAGATCTTATCTATTTGTTGTATATGATATGCGGGGATCACAGATCTGCTATAGATCAGCAAGTGAATGAAAAGGCCGCCGGAACCATTGTTCTCTTGCCATAACCACCAGATCTGAAACTACAAATTGACAATACTGATCGAACTAAGCAACTAAGCAAGTGAACAGTTCTTCAATTCCATATATTCAAGTTCAATCTATGAAATAATCATAAATTGAAAGTTCAAATTGAAGCTCTTAAAGGTCAATGATGGAGATCCATTTGAGAGTGGAATAGACAGATTCATGATTGTCTTGTCGATAAAGCTCTTTCATGATGGCAACAACGCGAGCGAACGATTCTCTCTCTCTCTCTCTCTCCTCAATGATCGGAGATGACAGATTCGACAGATCTAGATTTGGATCTGGATGTGTATCGTCGGAGCCATGCATCATGATGTCGGAGCGGTGGCGGCGACTGAGGATGTGGAGATCGACAGAGGAGGAAGGCCGATGGCCATGGAGGCAGAGTCGCCGACAAGGACGGACCCATGATCTTACATTAAAAAAAAAAAAGGATCAAGTCCACAAAAGGGGACCCATGCCACAAAAAAATAAATAAAAGGCCAATGGACTATAAAGAGCAATCAACCCATAAAAAAAGAGAGGATTAATTAAATTCTTTGTGGGGTCCATGTATGACATAGCATAGTTTAAAAAAAAAAAATACAAAATTTGAAAACTGGCCGAAAGGGACCAAGGCTAAGAAATAATCCCATCCAAGATCTAAAGAGGTAGATGAAAGTGCCAAATTGTCGTGACTCACACAACTAAGAAAATTCACTTGTGCAAGTCATGAGGGGACATTTATTGGCCCATAAATTTCAACCAAATTTATGTTTAAATTTCAAATACAGTCAATCAATTAATGACACATAAGCCTATGATAGGATTGTTGTAGGTAATCACTTCCTAAAATGATCAACTTGATCCATTGAAGTGCACAAATAAAACAACAGCGTATCTCAGCGACATTATTCAAGATACTCAAATGACACGTGGAGCCTACGAAATTTGTACTTACGCTGATTAACCATATCTAATTAATCAGATATGCATATTTGATTAATCATATATCTGATTAACCGTATTGTTCCTTTGGACTTCATCTTGTGTAGTGTCCTTATTGTAGGCTCTACCGGTGTCATATTTCGTAGGGTCCACGTGTCATTTTGGTATCTTGAATAACGTCGTTGAGATACGACGTCGTTTTATTTGTGCACTTCAATGGATCAAGTTGATCATTTTGGGAAGTGATTAACTACAACAATCCTATCATAAGCTCTATGTGTGTCATTAACTGACTGACCATATTTGAAATTTGAACATAAATTTGGTTGAAATTTATGTGCCAACAACATGTGGTGCCAAACTTTGTTTACGTTTTATTGATAGTAGATGTTTGGTGCACTTATGATGGCCTTAGAATTGGACATTTCATTTTAAAAACCAAGATACTGTAATTTTGACTATAGAGGAATATGTATAAATTTTCATTGTTTTTATTTTGTCATTGGATTCTAAGTTATTTTATTCAAACTTGTAATGTGTTTATTGTGTGTAGTGTTGGGAAGTGTTTGACAAGCGTCATGCCACGTTAGTGTCGGACAGAGTGTTGGACACGACACTTTACCTTATTAGAAGTATCCATGTTACAATGCATAGCTCTAAATGAAATCGTGTTAACTATCATTCTAGAATTACATAGAACAATGATATTTGAGCACAATAGACCTTCACATATGGATATTTATCTATGATTTGAGGCACGAGATGTGATGATTTATGATGGATTAATCAAATGTACATTGAAATGAAATATAAAGAAAATGGTTAATTAAAGTAATGAAATGAGAAAAGATTATGATAATTAGAACATTGGCTTTGTGATACTTATGCTCTATTAGATTTGGATCTCAACGGTTTCCATGCGTTTTGTTTTTATTTTAGTTTTAAGATTCTTCTTGCAAAGGATCTTGGGCATTCTCTGGTTTGGAGATAAGGTGTTGTAGGTAATTTTTTTTCATCAATATGGGATTTATATTTATTTATTTTATTTAAGGAAAGTGTTTTCTGATTTGAAACCATATGAAGAGTAGTCGTGGAATGTTGGTAACATAATATAATTGATTATACTTTAGAAACTTGAGTCTCTTTTTTTTTTTCATTAGTAGCTATTGTTTGTTTAATGAATAAGTCTCTATAAGATAATCGAGAAAAGAAAATGGTAATAAGATTTTTTCCTAGTTTAGAACATTGGGATGCATGATAGTATGACTGTTTATAATTTTTATTGAACAATTGATTAATGTTGGTCAATCCATCCAATAAATTGAACAATTGATTGGTGTGGACAATCCTTCCAATTGATTCAATTGGACAATCGATTGGAGTGGCCAATTCTTCCAATCAATTAGTTAATCGATACTTTTGAAATCTGATATCTAATATTTGAAATGTGTATGAATTCCAGATATGAAGTTTTGTTAAGTACTTGGTATATTGTGGGATGAATGGTGATGCTAAACTCATGTGAGCACATTATAGCTTTGTAACTCATATTATCACATATGCAAGCAGTGGTGATTTGCAGAATGGTGGTGAGTTGTGGTGCATAGCCAGTGTGAGTAGTGGTTTGCACAGTAGTTTTTTTTTTTTAACTTCAAATGAGTTTTGTTATGGGGTAATGCTCTTCTTTGTCAAAAGTTGAGTATTATTTTTTATAGATTAGCCATGGAAAGTTGGTTTTCTTTTACATTTTTTAAGTGATCTCAGTAATGAGAATTGCCACTTTATCTTGCTATCCTTGAGAAGTGCTCTGACTATTGTGGATTTGGTGCTCCTTCATTTCTAAAGGACATATTTTGTGCTGGTGATTCTTTTGTTTTTGACCTTTTTTGGACATAGGAATTAACATTAAATGGGAATCTTTGGTTATGTAGAAATTAGTTTTTAAGTCATGTAGTGATTGGCAAATTTGTAGCTAGCATTGACATTTGAAGAATGTCCTCATTATGCCTATCTTTTTATCCTTCTGCCTTTAGGTGATTCTTAGCAACTCAAGTTCTCTTTAATTTTCCTTCAAGCAAACACCTAGGTTAGGAAATCTCTCCCTTACAATTGTTTATTAGCTCATCCCTTTCTTTCTTGAAATGCAATGGGTTAATGAATATTAACATTGAATGGGCTAATGTTTTGAAAATTTCAGGAATATTTGTTTTCTAGAAGAGCTTGATACTATAAGTGGTTGGGCACAAAATGTATCCATATTGCAAGAGTACAGAGCAATTGATTGCACAATTGATTGTGTACCATTATCAGCCAAGTCTAAATGATACAAATCTGCTCCTAATCACTTGCACAATTGATTGTGAAATTGTAGTGTGAAAGGTATTGAATAATAGCATTTTTGGGATATATGAATTTAATGTTTGGGATTTATCTATTGGCCACGATTGAAGTAGAAATAGAGGTTACATTCCATGGTAGAAAGAGATAAAGTTTTGATAGGAGTTGTCATTTTTGTTTGCTGTCTATCTCTTGCTATGAAGCTGGTGAAGATTAATCATTGACATTTCTTTTTTAATTGTATCTGATTTGATTGTCACTTGGGATTTTTGGCTTCGAAGAAGTATTTTTGCTTGTAAAGATTAAAAATTGAGGCATTGAAACATTATCATTGACATTTCTTTTTTAATTGTATCTGATTTGATTGTCACTTGGGATTTTTGGTTTCGAAGTAGTTGTTTTCGTGTTTCTACTCTTTCAATAAGTACAATTTGTTTAACTATAAAAATTCATTGTCTTAGGCAGTTCAATGACTTGTGTTTCTTGAGTTCAATTTGTTTATTTTATTTTATTTTATTTTGTTTTTTCCTCTTTAATCAAAGAGGAAGAGTAATCCGAATTCAAAGATTTATTAGTATTATTTTTTGTAATTGCAGTTAAAAAAAATTAAAAATTGTGCATGCGTAAATTTTTGGTAATCTGGGTCCCATTATGAACTGATTATACATTTGGATTTTATCTTTTCAATGTTTGGTTGTTGAGTAAAAGTTGGAAAATGAGTCCCAACTGATGTATAGTGGCTAAAATAGTGGTTTAAGGTCCTCAAAACAAATATTACAAATCTGAGTTTTATTTAAATGTTGAAACAAAGTGATTAATATCTGAAAGTTATTTACGAAATGGTAGTAGAATTGATGAAAGTTGCTGGGCGTGGATATTCTAAGACCTATGGAGGAGGAGTGCCTTGGAGTGCAATACATACGCAAAAGGCTAACAGTAGTCGTGGAATGTTGGTAACAGAATATAATTGATTATACTATAGAAAATTAAGTCTTTTTATTTTATTTTTCGTTGGTGGCTATTGTTTGTTCAATGAATAATTTGTCATCTAAGATAATGGAGAAAGGAAAATAGTAATAAGATTTTTTTCCTGGTTTTAGAACATTGGGAGGCATGATAGCATGATTGTTTACAATTTTTATTGAACAATTGATTAGTGTTAGCCAATCCATCCAATCGATTGCACAATTGGTTGGTGGTGGACAATCCTTCCAATCGATTGGTGAATGGATTAGTGGTGGCGAAGCCATCCGATCAATTGGACAATCGATTGCAGTGGCCAATTCTTCCAATCGATTAGTTAATCAATGCTTTTGCAAAATTTTAGATGTGCAATAGATTAGTAAACTAATTTTGCTGACTTGTAGAAAAGTGATCTTGGGTCTTTACAGTGCCCGTGGCTGCCAATATTATGATAGGATACATGACATTAGAATCCATGCATCATCTCCAATTCATGTATCATTACTTAACTAAGGTATATATTATGGGGGTGTTTGGGAAGGATTTTTTTTGGTTTTTTTTCACTAAAAGACAAATGGGTTACAAAACCAAAAAAAACAAATCCAAATAAAATATCACATCAAAACCTATAATCATTTTACTTTTTCTCCCACAAACATCACATTCAACCACAAAAAAAACCCAACTTTCTTCCCAAACACAATTTTTTTTCTCCAATAATATCCTACAACTAAAAAAACCTACAAAAAAATCCACTTCCCAAACACCCACTATGCCTTTTAAGCGGATTTTATGAAAATTGTTAATCACAATTTACTAATTATCTAAGTATTAATGTTGTTTAATTAAAATTTGTCTTAAATGTAATAAGTATTAATTATTAAATATAAACTATTAAGAACATAGTAATCGTTATTTTAAAAGATAATTATTGAATTTAAAAAAAAAATCATTGGTTAAATTAGTGTGTTATCAAATATTAATATAATTTGTGTTAGTTTGAGAGTTTTGGTTGTTCATTATATGCTATTATTTGAGCTTCCAATTACAGTAGAGAGCGAGCAAGCTCTTGTAGTTTCATTGTACGGGAGATAATGTGAATCCATGAAGGTCCTAGTTTCTCTTCTTGTTACATTTCTCATGAATAATAAATTAAATTGCATCTTTGGGATGTAAAGAATTCAATTATAGTTCTACAAAAATGTCTTGATTTATATTATCATTGGTTAATTTACTTGTAGAATATGCTAGAATTTATGTTGGTATCTAACATAAATACTTTTTCAGTAGCTTTGAATTTAATTTGATGCATTTGATATGTTTTGTTCAGCCACTCTGGGCCTGGATGAACTGGGTTTGGCGACTGAAGATGTTGAGATGTCAATTGGCAAATGGTGGATTATCATGGGATTATACATTTAGCTCTTTTGTACTTGTACATGGAACCAGTATATTTAGCTATTAGTTTCTTCAATTCCCATATCTACTCTTCTGTACTTGTATAATAAGTGAGGCCTTAACTTGTCTCATTTAGGCAGGATTCAGACTACATATATGAAACGTGATATTTGGTGATGGGATGAGAGACTAGCTTGCTTAGACAAATTTCAATGTAAACAGATACTCACATGCATGCATGTATAAATGTGCCTATAGATACACAATGATAAAGAAATTAGTAGAATATTGATTGTTTGAAAAGCCATGCAAAGTTAGTAATTGAGTTAATCAGAAATTTAGGAAGTTTTCTCTTCAGAGCTTGCATGGATACAGTTCCAATAATAATATGGAAGGCAACTCTCCTTACTTCGTATGCAGGTGGGCAACTAAGGTAAAAGCAGCATGAATACCAATTCAAGGTCACAAAAGCTCCTTGATTAAATTGTGTAGTTTCAGAGCTTGCATGGATAGATTGCTGTTTTCTTCGCTCATTTTTCATGACAATGGCTCTCATTTGGACTTTGAAAGCTCACCCCAGATAAAAAAGACAACCACATAGTGCAGGATTTTTCTTTAAGTAATAGGTCATTTGCCGTATGATCAATTGACATGGCATCAACTTTTATTATTCATCAAATTGGTTGGTTTGTTCTATTATAAACTACATCATCAGACCTTAGAAAGTCAACCAAAGCTTCATGACGTTTTTCTAGATTCAAAATCAAATATTTGTTTTTAGATAATTTTTCATTTCTACTTGCATATCAAGTTCCTAAGATATTCAGGTCTTATTTTGATGACAGGACCTCCCTGATTATATCCCATCAGTACCCAATCCACTTCAGAAATTTCAGAGGTATTTGATTTGAATTTCTAATTTTTTGGCTCACCTTTATATTTCAATTGGCGTAATCAAGTGTGTATTAGAATTTAGCATGAACTTTATTCAACAGGATAAGTATTAATGCCATGTGTCGGGGTTGAATTGATGGGTGACAAATTATAGTGATGGTGAACAAGGTTCACAGACCTTGCTAATTTTAGTTGTTGCATTATGTTGGTACTACATTTCAAGTGTTGCTATACTAGAAGATTGTTTCTGGCATTATGTTTTTGATGCATTATAAGTCATTACTATTGTTGTATCATGGAGTTTTGGGTTTCAGTTGATGAATTAGAATAGGAGTGGCTTGCTTCCTTATGTCTCACTCTTGAATTAGAATATGTATTTCTTGGATGGCCCATCCAATCAGTCGACCAATCGATTGGTGTTGGCCAATCAAATGGTCATTTGATTCCATTGCTCATTGTTATTTTGTATAGGATGCGGCCAATCAATTGTGTAATTGTTTATAATGCCCATTTTGTATAATTGATTATTTATTGATGTTAATAGAATGAGTATGAGTAACTTGGTAAAGTGACTTGAAGGTTAATCCTTTTGATATCTAGTTTGAATTTCTAAGAGTGGTATGTAACTGAATTTTACTTCCAAAATTTGCTTAATTTATTTGTTGGGTATCGAAATACCGTTGGGAGGTGTAGGGATTACCACTGGGAGGAGAGCAGGCTAGGGAGTGCTGGGTATCGGAGGGAGAGATAACAATTCAAAAATCTTAGATAATGATTGGTTCGAGAAACCATATTTGGAACAGGGAGATGTGAATCTTGATGATATACCAGTTGTTTTTACTTACTAGAGATATGGCATTCACATTTTAATAAAGTTTATCTATGAATATCATTTGAATGCATTACTTTTTAACTTAATGGGAGCATTTGATTTTGTTTTAGTGGTAATGAGTTTTAGTTGTTTTTTTTTTTTTTTTAATTAATTACAATTCACAGTGACATATTTCCTTTGGTTGGAATAGAGGTTTCTGATGGATTCTGTCGAAGCCTATTTTTGATCTATGATGATGTTATTGGAAATGTTGGGTGGAAACTTGGAAATGTTGGAATTACATAAAGTTTGGATTTCGTATAAAATTATTGTTGATGATGAGGAAGATTTTGAGTAATGGAAATATGAATGTTTCATTACGTATTAAATTGTTGATTACTTATATAATAATGGAAATATGAATGTTTCATTACGTATTAAATTGTTGATTACTTATATAATTGAATTGAACCTTAGGCGAATTATAATATTTGTACACTCATGCATTGCGTTGCATTGCATCCTCATGGTCTTGGAACATGTGTCGGATATTTTAAAGAGGTATTTGCGTAGATTTGAAAATGTAGTGTATATTCACTGAGGTGCCCAATTGCCTTTCCGTGCTTGATGTCGGTAAATATGGGGGGATATTGTTGAATATGTTTTGAGGTGCCCAATTGCCCTTCTGTGCTTGGTGGCCGGTAAATGTGGGAAAGTTGTTGGAAACATTTTGGGTGTTTAATTGCCCCTCCATGCTTGGTGGCTAGAAAATGTGGAAAGGTTTTGAAAAGTAATGGGCATCCAATCGCCCCTCCGTGCTTGGTGGCCGATAAATGTGGAATTGTTGTTTTAAAATACGATAAGTGCCCCAAGTGCACTTCCGTACTTGGTGACCGGTAAATGTGGGAGTATTTTAAATATGTACTGTGGGTTTTGTCATGAAAAAAGATTTTGCACGTGTAATAAAGGTCCAACTGTTAGAGTCAAGCATGGGTTAAAATTGTACATAGAGCATTGGTTTTCAAAGGAAGTAAAGAGTCTTGAGCATATGGCATGGCATTGCATTGCATTATCATAATCATAATGAACATTTATATATTGTGTTAAAATTATTCCTAAAAGCTCACTCCCTTTTTATGGGTTGTATATTCAAAAATTTCAGGTGATGATGATGTACCTCCACCCCGTTAAGAAGCAAGTGGAGATCTAGATGGAGCACTGAAGCTCATTTTGATGTTTATTTGTTTATAGCTATCGAGCTTACTTCTCTGGGATAGGATTATATTTTTTTTATAATCAAGGCCTTAGCCTTGAAAGATGTGAGAACCCGGATATAAAAATTAAGTAAATAATTAAATAATAATATTACAATCTCAAATATTTTGGTGGTGAATTCTAAGGTGCAAATTAAATATTATTGGAGGATCCTTTAATTAATTTTTAAACCTAAAATAAATTTATGGTGAAAGTCATTGATTTAGAAGCAAGATTTATTATTAAAAAAAAAAATGGAGAAGAGGGTGTGACTTGAACTCTAGACCATAAAATTAATAAGTTAGACTCCTACCATTTGAGTTGCATGTAACTTATATATGTATTTTGTATATTTATCTATCTATTTGACCTAAGTGTGCCCACAACTAGTATAAAATAAAATAAACACAAACCCTACTCTATTATTTGTTCACCACATAGGGCAACAACACAGCAGCCACGGGAGAAGGTTTGAGGGAAGGAAAAAAAAGAAGAAGATGTTGCAATCAAAGAACTTTTGGGTGTGTTGTGTTGTGTGTGATCATCAAAGGTTAGCCTTCCTAGGTTTTCTTCTCTTCTTTCTTTGTTCTATCCTTATTCTATAATTATTTTATTCATTCATGGAGAGGTTGTAGGTTTATGTATTGTGTATATAGATATCCTATTAAGAAACTTGAGGAGCTAAATTTATGTGTAAAGATTGGGTATCTGTGGATAGCACAAAGGTGGTAGAAAATCGTTGATTGGCCATGACCTACTTCTGTGACAGAGGTACGTAGCTTTCTAGGGTTTGCTGGATATTATAGACAGTTTGTGGAAGGATTTTCCTGTATTGCTTTGCCATTTATAAATCTCACTAGGAAAGAGGTAAGTTTGAGTGGAATGATGATTGTGAGTGTAGCTTCCAAGAGTTTAAACAAAGGTTGATATCAGATATTTAGCCTTATCTATTAACACTTATATTAAGAAATTGGGTAACAATAATTGGTTGGTAATTATAAAATAGGTTGCAAATATTGAGCGTGACATTTATCCAATTGCACCACCCATTCAATTAGCCTTTACTATTTTGTGTTTCCAAGTTAGAACTAGAACTTATCTACCTAATGTAGTTGTGTCTTGCACCAGCACTTTATTTGTCTTGAATACACTCAATTCCCAATGTTAAAGGTATCTATTAGAGCCAAATATTCATCAAGTAGCTGCCACGACAGGGTTTTCTACCGATCTTTCATGATATTGCCTCCAGATCTATTATTTTAATCTTGGAGGAATACCTTGCTTATGCTTGCTTCTAAGCTCAAAAAAAGTCATGAATAGCATGAAGTGCTATAGCAAGATTTTGTTTTGGGGGAGTTTATCATTTATATAATTTGTCAATAGAGGAAAATAGATCATCTGTGTCGAATGGTTTCAAGATGGGTATATGATACTATAAACTATTGATATTCCTTTCTACTTAATTTTATTAGAATTCTATTATTGTGTTTTACAAATTCCCTATTGCTTTAAAAATTCTATGCGGGAAGTCACTTTGTGCAAATTATGTCGAAGGTTAGGTCCCAATGGGCACTAAATTGGGCGTACTTTTTAAATTAATGTTTAAATTTACTATTTGAGGGAAAATATAATGATGAATGGATTGCAGGTGCAAAATCTAGTTGCAGAAATTGTTGATTCCAGGTTGGGCAAACAAGTAATTCTTCCTTATTCTTGTAATTAATTTTCTATGTAAAATTCATGGCTTGGTATAGTGCTCACACAAGTTAAATTTTCTTTTGCCACAATCCTGCAAATCCCTACAGATTACAAGAATCAAGCCGTCCCTCACTTGCATTCCCGCAGAGGAAGTGATGAGCCTTGTGACTGCTCAAGGTCTTAAATTATTCTACTCTTCTTTCTAGCATGTGTTTACCATTAGAGGTTTCATTGCATGAGGTAATTTTTTTACTTATTTATTTTTTGAGGTAAATCTCTGTTTGTTCATGACAGTGGCGAAGCAGAGTGAATAAAATGAGGTGTGGAAAGACATTCTGAATGCAGAGGGTGATAAAATATTTGTGAAGGTAAATTTCCTTTTGCAGTGTAAATTGTAATTTTTTTGGTTCTTAAATACTCATGTTAACACGTAAAGTTTAGGATGAGTGCGGTTCAGAGGTTGGAGAATAGAATCAGCATAAACCAAATGTGGCTCTTCTTGTTCTGTTTGTCACATCAAAATTCACACATAATATTTTCTTGTTTTGTTGGTCATTATTTTTATTTTTTAACTTTTTTTTCAAGGTTTCCTGAAAAGTAAAAACAACTGACAAAAAATTGAAGAAAATTTCACAAAGTCAAAAGAAAAAAAGAAAAAAAAGAAAGAAAAGGAACCCTTGCCAAACCAAGCCCGCAATTTTTAAAGAACAATATCACTTGAAATCTTTTGTAGGGTCGTGTGAACGAAGACATGTTTTCTATTGCTAAAGTAATTTCTTTTTAGTTACCAAGTGGGTAATGGATATCAACTTAACCAGGAATCCTCCAATTCATGACCAAACCATCTATCCATTGTTGCTAATTTGTTGATTTGTTTGTGTTTATTATTATTATTATTATTATTATAGGATATCAACTTCTACACGCAGAAGGGGGAGAATCCCTTTTTTAGCTGAGTTGTCTGAAAGAGCATATTTGCAATGAGAAGTGCCATTGGTTACATGAAGAACAATACAAAGGTATCTATGCCTTCTAGTTTCAGAGTGTTCAAGTATGAGAAATGGGAAATTTTTGTCACCGACATCATAATCCATATTTTCCTCTAAAAGACTTGAAACTTTTTTTTTTTTTGGAAACTAGATGATAGAGCATTCAGATAATGCAACTTAATTCTGACATAAATGATTCAGTTTTTCCTTTGAAACTGGGTCACAATTACCTTTTATAAATTCTAGCTACTTCAAAAGCATTCGAGTTTTGTTGCTTTTTATTTTGTATTAAGTTTTATTTTTCTGCAGAAAACTCACAGCCCAAACCCAGATCCAAAGTTGATGTTTGGATTAAAGGACATACAAGGAAGAAAGGAAAATCTGTGAATGAAGTGTTTGAGGCAGCAGTGGTATAGTGATATTAGCTCCATTTTGTATATATTGCATTATAATTTAAACTCATATTAAAGATTGTTTAGAAACTTTTTGACAGCTTTTAGAACTTAAGGATGGGCTGTTTTGGATGATTCAGAACTGTTTGGATGGTTTTGAATTTGAAGATAGTTTTTAATGTCTATAAACATAGTTTTTGGATGGTTTGGAATGTAAAGACAGTTTTTGGATGTTTAGAACTTATGGATAGTTTTTTTGTTTTTTTTTTTTTCAATGTTTGGAAACAATATTTTAATGGTTGATTGATACTTATATATATGTTTGTGAAGCTTGTTTGTAATGTTTTATTGGATTGTACAAAACATGTGAAATATTACCTGTTGAATTAAAAAAAAAATAAAAAATTATACATTCTCTACGGCATGCAACAAATGCCATTGTATTAAATATTCAATAACTGTCTATGAACGCCATGATTTGTTGCACTTATTTATGGCTGGCAGAATAGGCCATTGTATTAAATATTTAACGATTAGCAATGAACGTCGCAGTTTGTTTGTTCCTTGACTTAACAGTGTGCAAAAGTAGTTTTAGAAAAATTAAATATGACGTACCAGATTTGCTGTTAAAAGGTTTTTAACGGTGTACTGTGGCATGTTGTTGAAGTGAATGACTTTCCATGACATGTCATAACACGACTTTACATCGCGCGTCGTAGAATCATATCCACTTCTTGCATTTTATGTCGTTAAAAGTGAGTTTTGTGGTATGTTGACTAAGAAAATAACCTAAAGTAGTGGTAACAGAAATCTGAAGAAAATAATTGAGAAGTCCAAGTTCTTTCATAGCAAAAGACCCATGCAGTTGTTGAATGATGTAAAAAATGCAATGTATAAAAAGAAATAGAGAAATGTATTATTGATTTATATATTGATTGATTTTTTTTTGTCTATTACAAATGGTTCCTTATATAGATGTAGGTGTAGTGGATGGTGTGTAGTGGATGGTGATAGTGGTGTAGTGGGTTAGGTTTAGTGGAGTAGGTGAGGTGGTAGTGGTGGTAGGTGATTGGTAAATTCTAACAGCCCCCCGCAAACTCAAGGAGGATAGAAATTAACCAACTTGAGTTTGAAGAAATCAACAAAACAAGCAAATACATAAAAATAAAAGAGGATAGGTGACACTGTATGGTCGTGTCAGACCATTGGTGAAGACACTGGATGGAGGTGTCATAACGTTGTAGAAGACACTGTATGGGGGTGTCATAACGTTGTAGAGGACACTGAATGGCGGTGTCAGACCGATGTAGAAGATAGTTTACGGGGTCATGTCGGACCGTTGTAGCAGACAATGTTGTGACAGTTGTGGTGACAGTTTACGGAGTCTTGCTGGACCTTGTAGAAACTAACCGGAATCAATGTCGGGACAGTTTACAGAGTCTTGTCGGACCCATAAAGGAGCTAACCGGAATCAAATGTCGGGACAGTTTACAGAGTCTTGTCAGACCCATAAAGGAGCTAACCGGAATCAAATGTCGGGACAGTTTACAGAGTCTTGTCAGACCCATAAAGGAGCTAACCGGAATCAAATGTCGGGACAGTTTACAGAGTCTTGTCAGACCCATAAAGGAGCTAACCGGAATCAAATGTCGGGACAGTTTACAGAGTCTCGTCGGACCCTTGTAGAAACTAACCGGAATCAATGTCGGGACAGTTTACAAAGTCTTGTCGGACCCATGAAGGAGCTAACCGGAATCAATGTCGGGACAGTTTACAAAGTCTTGTCGGACCCATAAAAAAATCGCATCCTCAAAAGGTGCGCCCAATTTTTCAAAAGGCGTGCCATAAAAAGGCGTGCCCAATCCATAAAAAGGCGTGCCATCAAAAGACGGGCCATCAAAAGGCGCGCCCAAGTCATAAAAGATGTGCCGGACATGATGGCGAGGCACGTGAGTGCCTTGGCTGGCGCGCCCGTTTGTCGTCTGGCGTCAAGTGGCACTTATTCTTTTAGCTTTCACTTTCGGTGGTGGTGGGTTTGGTATCCAATGCACCATTTCTCTCTATATAGAGAGAGTTCATCTCTTTGTAATGAATACAGAATACAGAAACATTTCAGAGTCTCTTTCTCGCTCTCTAGCTTCTCTCACTCTCTCAAACTAATCTTACACATTGTTGGCATATCTGAATATCTTTAGTTAGGGTTTTTTTGACTATTTAGTTAGGGTTCATTTGATCATACCTTAGTTATTGTCAACAATGGCTCAAATGTAGACTAAAAATTTTAAAGGCATACTTCAACGTAAAATTTTCGCTGTGCAATCGCTGTTATGTTTTTCTATGTAAAATTTTCAACTTTGATGCAATCGCTGTGCAACTCATCAACTTTCTTAATGATGTGTGCCATTCGGTTATCATCAGCCAACTGTTATGTTTACTAAAACAATGAACTTCTCTATTTCTAAGTGTTGATGGTTTTATTGTTAAAAGGTTCTTATTGAAGAAGGCACACTATGACAAAGCACAAATACAAAGTATTTAAGCATTGAAAAACTTATCAGAAAAACGTAATCTATAATTTTTAGATAACAATTAGAGTAATGTTACACACATAAAAAATCTATGCATAAAAGCTCACATATAAATATATGGGACCCACTCTTATGCAAGAGTTTTTGTGCATTATTTGCACAATTTTTTTGAATTTCTCTAATAATTAAGTTGGGTTTCACATTATGCATTCAATAAAGGTTGATTAAATCAAGTGGAGCTAGAGCTCTGATACCATAAAGCAGATTCAAGACATAAAGCAGATTCAAGATAAAGCAGAGAAGAGTCAAAACAGATTTTTTATTAATATTTAAAATTGATCTCACTTGATCATGTACAGTATTTATAAACTAATATACTCTACCTAACTATAGTTACATTTAACTATAGTTCTAACAACTTTACAACTGCTAGAGTTAAGACTAACTAGTGCTAACAAATCTAACAGACTTCAGATGAGGTGGAGTTGTTTTGATCATGCTGGTGCAACTGCTTCGGCAGTGTTGAAGATGAAGGCTGCAACTGTGAAGGTGAAGACTGCAACTGTGAAGGCAACTGTGAAGACTGCAACTGAGTTTGCTTAACATGCCCCGGCAAGCTGACAGGAGAAGAATGAGCCAGAAGCTTGTGTTGAAGAAAGTTAAACCGAGAAACGGGAAGGGGTTTGGTGAGGATATCAGCAATCTGGTCAGCAGTAGCAAGATGTTTGATAAGCAACTGTTTGGAAGCAACACGCTCACGAACAAAATGATAGTCCACTTCAATATGTTTAGACCGAGCATGAAAAACCGGATTACTAGACAGGGCAATGGCAGAGAGATTGTCACACCATAGAGTAGGGGGGGCAAAAGAAATGTGCAGATCCCGAAGAAGCATGCCAAGCCAGCTAAGCTCGGCTGAAGTCTGAGCAAGAGCGCGATATTCAGCTTCGGTGGAGGAGCGAGAAACAGTAGGTTGTTTCTTCGCAGACCAAGAAACCAAGTTAGGACCCAGAAAAATACAAAAGCCAGTAGTGGACCTGCGGTCAATGGCATTCCCAGCCCAGTCGGAATCCGAATAGGCAGTGAGAACAAGAGGGCCGGGCTGAAACTGAAGGCCCTTATGAAGAGTTCCTTTCACATAACGCAATAAGCGTTTGACAGCATTAAAATGACTAACCAAAGGAGCACGCATATGTTGACAGGCAGAGTTGACAGCAAAAGCAATGTAGGGGCGAGTAATGGTCAAATATTGAAGAGCCCCAACAATACTGCGATACAAAGCAGGTTGAGCAAAAGGAAGATCAGAGTCGGGGAAGCTGGAGGATTTAGTAGCCATGGGAGAGGCATAGGGCTTGCAGTGGGTCATCCCAGCTTTGGCTAATATCTCAGTGGCATACTTAGATTGATGCAAAAATAAACCAGCAGCAGACATGGAAACAGAAATGCCCAAGAAATAATTCAGAAAACGGTGAGGTGGTAGTGGTGGTAGGTGATGGTAAATTCTAACAAATGACAGTGGCAATATAGGTGGAATCAGACATTGTTAGCAAGATATCATCTACATAGATGATGAGAATGGTGAATGCTGAATCTGTCTTCTTAACAAACAAAGAAGAGTCACAATGACTAGAGACAAATCCATGAGAGAGAAGGAAACTAGAAAAGGTAGAAAACCAAGCCCGTTGAGGTTTGCTTGAGGCCAGAAAGAGCTTTGTGAAACTTACAAACAAGCTTGGGTTGAGCTGCATCAATAAAACCTTGAGGATGATGCATATAAACTTCTTCCAACAAACCATGAAGAAACGCATTCGATATGTCAAGCTGCTTAATTGTCCAATTAAAGTGTAGAGCAACACTTGAGAGAACCCTAATAGTAGGTTGCTTGGCAACTGGATTAAATGTCTCAAAATAATCCACCCCCTTTGAGATCTTTTTAAGGTGTAACACCCACTTGCAGCCTATTGCTAGTTTATTTGGAGGGAGGGAAACTAAAGGCCAGGTGCCTTGGCTTTGAAGAGGTTTTCATTCATCTACCATGGCTGCATGCCAAGCTGGAGACTTAGCTGCCTCTTGATTAGAAGATGGTTCAAGAGAAGTAGTAGAGGATGGTTCAATGGAAGTAGTAAAAGTAAGAAGACAAGTGGAGTGAGCTGCTTTAGATCTAGTAGTCATTGAATGGGTGTTAGTAGAAGGCAATGGAAGAGGGAGATCAATAGAAATGGCAGAGATGGGAATAGAGTGTGGGATTGAAGAAGAGACAGGCATTGATGAAGCAACACGATTGGAAGACATCTGGGGCTGAGAAGCAATTGGAGCATGGGTCGGAGAGCTAACAGAAGGAGAAACTTGATGGGTAATAGGACTATGAACTTGTGTACTAAGAGAAGCATTTATAAGAGAGACAGAAGCATTGATAAGAGGACTGACAGACGCAGTAACAGGTGTAATAGGGGAAGTAACAGACTGTGAGGGTGAGGCCCAAAAGAAATAATGAAGCTGGGTTCCAGTAGGAGGCACAGGTATTAAGGAGTGAAAGAGAATTTTGAAAGGGAAACTCGGTTTCATCAAATTGGACACGCCTAGACACGTAGATCCTGCCAGTGGTAGGGATCAAGGCATCTAAACTTTTTTGTGAAGGGTTGATAACCAAGAAAAACAGAAGGAATTGATCTCGGTTGGAGTTTATGAGAGGTGTAGGGCTTGAGCCAAGGATAGCACCTACAA